TTGTGGTGCGGAGTGTGGTGGTGCGTCGTGTGATGGTGGGTCGTGTCGTGGTGTGTGACGTGCGTGTGGCATCCACCGAAGTCGAAACCGTGCGTCATTTGGGGTACAACACGGTGCCACTCCCCCACTTGTCCTTTCCTGCTGTCCCGTGCTTGAGCCAAGGGGCTTAGGGATTCGGCTCACGTCTGACAGGCGAGGCGAGGAGGGGATGAACCTTCGGAAGTTAGGGCGAGCAGGCCTCCGCCACCTGCGGCATTGCAGCCTGTGTGGCGGAGTACAGCCAGGTGCCCGGCACCGGGCAGGTTGGTTTCAGGGACCTAGAGTTGACGGGTCTATGGCTGAGTGAGCTGCGCTTGGGTGTGAGGTTGGAGTGCTTCGCTTTTTTGACGTGCATGCTCGGGCTCTGCCAGGCAAGGTCTGAAGACGCTTCGTTTGAGGGTTGTCGGGGATGGGTGTGCTGATTCCGGGACAGGACATCATGATGCTATCTCCTTGTTGTTTGTCTGCGTTTGTCTCTCCCCGTGTATCCGTGGCTGAAGCCTACTCCACAAATTGGCTGCCGCAGCTGCAGACACGGCAACGCTTTGCACGATTTCGACCAAATCACAGCTCCTGGGGCTTGGGGGCCTTAGCAGCCTTAGCAGCTCGAGGGGAGCAGCTCGAGGGGAGGTCATGAAATTGAAAGAACAACTGCTACTTGCGCACTGCCACACACATTTTCCCTGCAGCGTTCCGAAGGCAAGCTCTTGTGGCTGCAGCCTGAAACCACTGGTGAGACATGCCAGCTTGCACTGGAAAGCTAATTGCTTGCGGGTGGCACTGGTACTAAAGAAAAGCTCAGGCAGATTGGTTTGAGTCGTGATGAGCGCCGTAGCTTGATCCGGAGGATCACACTACAGACCTGTCAGCCCCCAAACGAATATCACGAGACGTAAATACATATATGTCTGTACACATATTACTAGAGTGCGCGTATATAGATATGATGTACATGATGTAATATAGAAAGTCGCATATATAATCTAATTATACGTATGCCATATATACCTATCTGTACATATAATTCGCCTCGGCCCCGGCCGACCTCTAAATCCCCTCTTCAGTGACACCCCCTTATAATTGGATTTCGGGTTGGCAACCCCTAGGGCTTTGGGGCTTCAGGGTTTAGGGCTTTCGGGTTCAGTGCTTCAGAGTTTAGGGCTTTATAGGGCTTTAGACTGTCGCAACTCGGGCATGCAGGCGAGGTTGGTCCATCGGTTTCGGAAGTTTAGGGGTCTTGTTGCCCTCCCTCTCTTTCGTTCGTAAGGCCCGAGGAAACTACCTGACCGATAGCCTTACAGGGCCTCTCTGTCCAGCGGCCAACATCCAATAGGTTAGTTGAAAGCGAATGTTGTTGCACGGGCTGGTTCAACTCTCCTTCCAACGTACCCCCTGGCGCTCGGGTCATGACGAAAACATGCTAAACTTGATATTCAACAGGCTACTTGTAGTAAGAAGCTTCATGCCTACCAACGCCAGCTTGATTCGGATGGAATAAATTAAGCCACTGCGCCACCTCCTTGTCCAGCCGGCCTCTGTCTCAACCCCTGTCCTGTTCAAGGAGATCGCCTACCTTCTATCTCAATTCATAGGCCTAAAGGAAGCCCAACCCGCAACGACTACACTATAATATGATGTAATGTAATGTAATGTAATATAATATAATATAATATAATATAATATAATATAATATAATATAATATAATTCAATATAATATAATATATCATATATCATATATCATGCTTCCTCTCCCTCTCGCACCCCAATGCCCTGAACCCAAGATCTCGGCCTCAGAGCTGGCCCTCGGACCTGGCTGTCTGGGCTAGCTTGGGTTTACGGCTTAGGGTTTAGGGGTTTAGGGTTTAGGATTGGAGCTTCAGGTTTAAGGGTTTATGTAAAAGTCTAGGGTGTAGGGTACTTTAGGGTTTAAGCTCTTTTCAGGATTTCGGCTCACACTCGGTGGCCCTGAAGACAACGTAGCTTCCGCAGATAATGTAGGGGCCTTAATAATTAGAATAGGGTTTTGGGCTCTCTTATAATATTTATAATAAGGAACCCTTGGGAATAATGTTGTTAATTTAGTTAGGTTTCTATCGTAACACTGATAGCTTTGGCGACCCTTCCTGCAAGTTGGGATAGTGGTAAGGTGCTCGGGGCTTGAAAGCATTGACCCTATTGCATGACAGCTATGACAGCTATGAACATTCGTATCACTTCAGAAACTTTGTGCCACAAGCTCTGTGCGATTCTCTAGGCTGCTACTACGAGTTCCCCTCAAGCGACGCCCATCTCCCATCCAAGATTTGCCGACCCGCAAAGAAAGTCAAGCTTCACAACAGAGGTTGACTCCATCTGAAACGATCTTCAGTGAGCTGAGGATTACTGTATGCGCTCCGAAAATAAAGGACGTCCGCTGTATGCTCGAGAGCCGAACAAAGGGTTCGCAGTGTCATCTCTGCTCCTCCCTCCGAGCGCGGCACCAAATCTGCGTCTTCATGCGAGTTTGGTCAATGTCCAGGCCTGAAGCACCGCCTGCCCGGGGACAGCGACAAGAGTCCTGACTATGAACGAATCCGCAGCTGGATGCAAACTCGGCATCCTTCGTTGAGCAGCACGCGAGCGAAGGCAAGCATCAGTTAACTAGTTAAATGACATCAACATATCCAAGTGAGCCGTCCGCATGCGGGATATCTGAATCAAATCTGATGCCCAGGCCTGTACCGGCTCCCAGGAGCATGCAATACATGAGCGAATACGTGGTCTGGTAGAACCTTGGCCGCAAGATGCAACGGTGCTACTTCAAGTGCTCTTGGCAGGGTGACGTCAGAAGGGTGCGAGCACGAAATCCTGCAGACCGCACGGAGTGTGGGAGAATCCTGGCTGCTTCTGCGCCCCTGCACGACTGGACGCATACGACGGGGAGTTGGCTATCTCACTACGTGCCAGATAATTAAGTCAGTACTTGCTCAATTTGCAGGTGTCCAGTCGACATCTTTGGTTGCTGCAGCAGGGCAGAAGAGTGAGAAGCATTTAGCTCTGTCGCAGCATGTTACTGCTCCAGATCACCGTACTCATAGCCCAACAATCACTACAGTCAACAGAGACCCGGCATAACTAAACCTTTCAAAGTCTTGGTGATCTGGCGGCCAGCCAAATTGCCCAGAACAGGCTGAATTTAATTTAGTACGTAATTGGTGCATGCAAGCTTTGACTCTCGGCTGCTTTCTTGACGTTGCTGGTGGTGCCAAGGCATTGATGCATGCCGATGCGGTTCCGGTAGCAATCCTTCTCTGTCAGACCTGGCTTCCAGGCCACAAGAGGATTTGCAAGCGTTGTAACAAAGATGACAACTTTTCTGTACTTGCCCGGGCGCACTTCGGCATTTCTTCGCCCTCCTCGTGGTTGGCTTCTTGCCATTGCATTTCCTGGAGGGCCGGAGGCTAAGTCTGCGCCGCAAAGAAGACCTCGACGCCTTTGTGCGCTCCAGGTACCCTTTGTAGGCTTGCTTTGCTGGCAGACTGCGCCGCGAAGAGCGCGTTGGGGCCTTCAATCGCTCCAGATACCCTTGGTATACGGGCGTTGCGGGTGCAGCATGCAAAGAAGACTGTTCTGAGCAAGCAGCGTTTTGCTGCCATCGTGGTTGCTGCCAATAAGCCTTCGTAACAAGTTGACCTGCTCAACCGCTTTAAGCTAAACGTAAATGTACGGAACATTGTTTAGAGCTTCGGGACTGCCTGGATTTGCCCGGGGATCACAGCCGCCTTGCTTGCAGCAGCCATGCCAACAACAACCACCAAATTCGATTCCGAAGAAGGTGGCACACTCCCATAAAACCCTAAACCCTAAACCCCTAAACCCTAAACTCTAAACCCTAAACCTTCAACCCTATAACCCCTAATCCCTGAACCCTGCTTATCAAACCAACCCGACGCACAGCTGCTAGGCAGCCCCGCGCTTAAGCACATTGTTTAGAATGACCATTTCAGCACTCACTCTCGGACAAGCCTAGGCGAGGTTCCTGGTACACGACGATTAGAATGACCATTTAGGGTTTGGGGTTTAGGGTTTAGTTGATGTAATGACCCAAATCAGGACAAGCATCTTGAAATGCTCTCTTGCCTTCGTGGAAAAGGCTTGCTCCCGTGCAGGAGTTTCACTTTTGCCAGTTCTGGCTCCGTCATAGTCCACCTCACCTTTGCAAGGGATGATGCTCTGCATCACTGCCTATGTGAAGACAGCGGAAGTGCCACGACATCCTTACTCCAAGTTCTCCAATTTTGTTCGTGCCCAACAGCCTGCACTTCCTCCTCGACGAGTTTCCACACTTCACCAGTGCCGGTGCCTCCACGCAGAATCTTGCCTCCTCCCGCAAGGCCATGTGTCGAACGATAGAAAAAGTACTAGCGCAAGCTCATCTATGGTGTCTCCTATGGGCACCCTTCCTTCGGTGAAGCATGTGATGTCTTCGGTGTTTCTCTATGTAGTGGGCAGGTTTCTCTCTGTACTGGGCAGAAGCAAGATGTGAAATTCGATCTTTCTTCACCCTACAGCCCCCATCTTAGTCCCTCGCAGCTCAAGCCCCGAAGACGATGATATGGAGTCGTTTAAGTGACAAATACTGCGGACCTTGCATCACTGACTGGCCGGCCAGAGTTGTGGCATCCACCTTCCAGTGGCCTCGCTTTGCTGGCTGGAACTCCAGGGACAGCCTCAGCCGAAACGTGGCACTCGTGACCATAGACATCACCACGACAACAGCAACAACAACGACAACAACAACCGCAACGGCAGCGACGGCGACACAGCACCAGCACCGGCACCAGCAGCAGCAGCAGCAGCAATAGCCACAGCCACAGCAGCCAGCAGCCACAGCCAAAGACTACGACTAAGTTTCTGCGGAGCTGCACCAGCGCGGAAACAGGCTTCACCAGGAGGTGGCTGGGACAGTCTGGAGCCCTAGGGCCAGCGTGGCGGAAAAGCATGTAGCCAGACGTCACCTCCTTGAGGCAATACGTGCACATACCTCAGCTCCGAAACGCGGCATTAGGATGCGGGCTCTCTGCCTGGACATGTAAACAAACAGGTCCCCCGTCAGACAGAGTCCGAAACACTATGCTGTAGTGCTAGAACCCATCCCGTTTGATTGCGTGTCTGGTCTGGGCCAGCGGCGCTTGGGCCATGAGGGAGCGATCCTGACAATCTCAGAGCCACTAAAAACTTTTCAAGTCGCTACTTCCCGGATGGGGTGAAGAAGTGCAGGAGTGTGGGGGGGGGGGGGGGGTTTTNNGGGGGGGGGGGGGGGATTTCTTGTTTAGGATGAGTTTTTGAGAATTCTTAATGTACGGTGTGGGCGGCCAAGCTCCAGCTGAAAGTAAGACTCCGAAGCGCGTCTGCATCGTGGAGCACAGAAGGACACCCCAAGAATCATGAGACGTGGGAACACCGAAGACATGCCTTGTGGCACATGGGGAGGGCTGAAACAAGTAGTTAGGAAATCGGGTCATTGGTGATGCTGATACTCGTGATGGATATGACGATCATGCACTTAGCATGTTGTTCAAAATAGCTCTGGTCAGTAGTGATGCCTGCCACAAGCATCACAGCCATGACGCGAACGCGAGGCGTAGCTAACATAGACAGGAACAGCAATGCAATCAAAGCCTGGGACTGTCACAACATTACGTAACATAACTAAGGATCGGCCCTAGCAGACCAGAACCACAGTGATCAGGTGTGAATGGTAAGAGCGTGTCACACCCCGCAACCATGTCCCCGAAATCCTGAAACACGGTACGTGCGTCAAGATTCTTTTTCAGGTTGTGACTTGGCACCAAAACATCAGAGGCTAAATGCTACGATCCCCTTAGCCCTTTTCAGCACGGACCGAGGTG